CCACCGGCCTCTTTAATACCTCAGAGATAGTGACCGTTATCTCTACGTATCTATTAGTCATGCGCTGCTAAGTTATGGAGCCGGAGCAGGTTTTCGAACCCATTGGTCTGGGTTTTGGTTGCCGCAGGCCCGAGGTCCGAGCCCACCGGCCCGGGGTGGCTGTGTGTGGCCTTGGGCAAGTCTTTTTCCCCCCGCAGCCGGGCAGCCTGCCCCCTCCCGTCGTGGCCGCGCCGGCTCAGTGGCGGGAGGGGCCCAGCGGAAGGAGGAGGCGGGCGCCCCAGCTGCTTTGCATTGACGCCAGCACCCGCTGGAGGTCACAGCCGGGGGCTGGGTGCGGCGTGCTGCCCGGAAGACCCGGCCCGGCAAACGGAGCCGGAGCCGCTCCGCCCGCAGCTCCCGGGTGAGCGCTGCCGCTTCAGCCCTTCTCGACGGCACGACTTCAGATCCCACTGGAGCCGAGGTCTCTCCTTCCTACCCGGGCGGACGCTGCCTCGCCGCCCCGACCGGCCTCCTCCGGCCCCTACCCCTCAACGGCGAGAGATCTAGGCTAGCTTTCTCCGCCACCAGCCCTCGGACCAGGAGCATTTATTCGCGGGGCGGCAGGCGGAGCGGCGTGGGTGCCCGAGCCTCGAGAGTCTGCTGCTAAAGCGCCGCGGAGCGGGAACGGGCCGTGAGCGGGCGCAGCAGGGAGCTCACTTCCGTCGGGGGTCGTGCCGCCCCACGGCGCGGACTCGCCTGCTCTCGGGTCGGGAGAGCTCAAATCTCCTCCCCCGAAATTCCCCGGAAGCGCGGCGCGGCCGTGGCGAGCGCGGCGATGTGAGAGAGGAGGCCAGCGGCTCCCGCTTCAGGAAGGGCATGTTCGGAGGGGCGGCCGCGGTGCGCTGCCCGCCCCACCGCCCCCTCCCCACCGCCGCAGCTGCTGCGCCAGCACCGCGATAAAAGGGGCGGCAGCACTTCCCGGCGCGAGACCCGTGCTCGCTGCCGACCGCTGAGGCGGCCGCGAGGCGCCAGGCTGGCCGTTTACCGACCGTTTCGCTGCTCCCCGCCAGCGTGTCGGCGCCGCCGCCTCTAGCATGGGCTGTGCCCAGAGCATCCACGCTTCCGAGAGCCGGGCGGCGTACTACGGCGGCAACGAGGCCGAGGACGCGCGGGGCCCCGCGGCGCCGCCGTTGCAGCTCGGCGGGCCGCGCGTCCCACCCGGCCAGACGACGGCCGCCTCGGCCCGGTCCTGTGGCTCCAGCCTCGTGGAGTCTGAGCCAAGCGGCGGCAGCGGCAGCAGCAACGGCAACACGGTAAGGGGTGCCGGGCGGGCGTGGGCTCCGAGGCTGTGGTCCGCGGTGAAACTCGGGCCCTGCGTTGCGGCAGCTTTCCCACAGGGACTGGTGGGGCTGCCTCCCCGGCCGCTGTGCCCTGTCGCCCGGCTTTGGAATGACTTTGACGGACGCCAGCGGACCTTTTGCCAGGGTAGCGACTGGAGGCGTACCAACACTGGTCCTGGGCACCGTGGTTAGTAGAGTTGTGCTTAGGAAGTTTTCCGAGCCGCAGCGTCGGTTCCTGGGACACATCCGACCCGACGTGTCGAGCAGGAGGGACCGATGTGAACTTGACCCAGGCTCCTGAATCCATTACCTCCCAAACAGCGGGTACAGAGGAACACCCCCCCCTCCCCCCGCCAAGGTATTCTGGCGCGACCCTGAACGTTAAATCAGTGTGAACTTTCTTCTTTTGGTTCTCGTGGTGGAAAGGGATGGTCGGCTAGCACTGTGAAGCCGGGGTACTGGACCCTACCACCGTGTTGCGTTTTCCCTCTGTCAGCTTTGCACAAGCATGCAGTTGCAGTTTTCCATTTTCTTTGGGACTATTAAAATGTAATCTGGAACATCAGCTTTGCTTCATTGCACATGTATTTGAGGTCCACTTTCATTAGCATGCATGTTGTACTTGAAGCATATCCCCCCCCCCAAGGGATTCTGGCGCGACCCTGAACGTTAAGTCAGTGTGAACTTTGTTCCTTTGGTTCTCGAGGTGGAAAGAGGAAAGTCGGCTAGCACTGTGAAGCCCGGTTACTGGACCCTACTACCGTGTTGCGTTTTCCCTCTGTCAGCTTTGCACAAGCATGCAGTTTCAGTTTTCCATTTTCTTTGGGACTATTAAAATGTAATCTGGAACATCAGCTTTGCTTCATTGCACATGTATTTGAGGTCCACTTTCATTAGCATGCATGTTGTACTTGAAGCATATGTAATTAGAAAATAGTATCAGAAACCCGATTTTTGAAGCATTCAGGAGAACAAAGTTAATTTTTTATTAAGCATTCTTACTGGGACAGTTTGTGAAGTAAGCCTTTCTTCCTTCTCCCCTGGAAAATTACCCCAAGTAACTAGGAGGGGGAAGAAAAACCCAGAAATGAAAACTCTGTTTTTGAAGAAATTAGGAGATGTCTGAAACCCCAAACCAGAAAATAAGTGGTAAGGGTTTTTGAAAGATTGGACCAGGAGTATGAGAGGAAGTAGACAGAAGACAGTTGCAGCTGTGGAACTTAGGAAAAGAAAACTCAGGTAGCAAATAGTACTTTACAAGGTGAGGGATGCATCCTGGGGTTCAAAACCAAAATGTTTGGTTTGAAATGGTGGAAATGAGTGCACAGGCTGGTGGCAGAAGCTTCGCTGGATCCAGTTTGATACCAGGATGCAGAGGAGCATGTACTGAAGGAGGACTTATCGCAAGTAACGTTTGTGGGGAGCAGGCTGAGCTGTGGTGACAGGAAGGAGAGGACTCTGCGCTGTGAACAGCTCTCACAGCTGCCTGTCTCTTTGGAGAGAGAGAGAAGCTCAGGAATACCTTCCCCCACTCTGTGTGTCCACGTATACCATCCCACCAGAAAAAGAAAGAACACTCCCGTTCCCCTGAACATGGCTCTGGCTCTTCTCCCAAGTGAGTCTTCTTCAAATAACTGGTCTAGAATAAACCACCTTCAAAAATGAGTAATCAAAAATGGACCAGTTCAGGATCTAGTCAAACAATTACTTAAAAGAAGATGAAGAAACATGAAAAAACAGAAAGATGATGATGACCAACACTCACTAGGAAAACACTGGCACAGAACAAGTGAATATTTTGATGAAATATTTCACAAATTAAAGAAAAATGTCAACTTACTGCTGTAAAGAGCTGGAGCACAAATCGGAAGTACAGGAGTTCAGGGAAGAAATGGCAAGTCAGTCGACAGAAACACCTAAGTTCAAGAAAGAAAGTGAAGGGGAAAAATAAAACCCATCAAAGAAATGAAGGCAAATTAAAAGTTAACCAAGACAGGTTAACTTACCTGGTGGTGCAGTGGTTGAGGGTCTGCCTGCCGATGCAGGGGACATGGGTTCGTGCCCCGGTCCGGGAAGATCCTGCATGCCACGGAGCGGCTGGGCCCGTGAGCCATGGCTGCTGAGTCTGCACGTCCGGAGTCTGTGCTCCGCAATGGGAGAGGCCACAATAGCGAGAGGCCCGCGTACCGCAAAAAAAAAGAAAAGTTAACTAAGACAGTGTATAGAAAACAGAAAAGGAGTGAGCAAAGTGAAAACAGAAATAGTTTAGACATATGAATGAAAAGTACAAAAATTCCCTGAAGAAGGAAGCAAATAATAGACAAAATAAAAATTTAAAGGTTTCCAGAAAGGAGAACTTGAATCTACAGTTTGAAAGGATGCACTGTATACCCAGGAAAAATTAACATAGAACCGTCAGCATTGCAGTGTATCCCAGTAAAGTTATTGGACTTAAAATGTAAAGAATTATTTGGACGGCCAGGCCAAAAGATCAACTAACTTATAAAAGGGGAAAATTTGGCTGTTGCTTATCATCAATCAACATGGGAGAAGACTGACAAAATCCTTAAGAAGAGTAAGATTGACCCAAGGATTTTTTTTTTTTTTTTTCTGCGGTATGTGGGCCTCTCACTGTTGTGGCCTCTCCCATTGTGGAGCACAGGCTCCGGACGAGCAGGCTCAGCGGCCATGGCTCACGGGCCCAGCCGCTCCACGGCATGTGGGATCTTCCCAGACCGGGGCACGAACCCGTATCCCCTGCATCGGCAGGCGGACTCTCAACCACTGCGCCACCAGGGAAGCCCGACCCAAGGATTTTATATTCATTGAACTTGTATTTTTTTTGAAAACAAGTTTTGGGCTTCCCTGATGGCGCAGTGGTTGAGAGTCCGCCTGCCGATGCAGGGGACACGGGTTCGTGCCCCGGTCTGGGAGGATCCCACATGCCGCGGAGCGGCTGGGCCCGTGAGCCATGGCTGCTGAGCCTGCGCATCCGGAGCCTGTGCTCCGCGATGGGAGAGACCACAACAGTGAGAGACCCGCGTACTGCAAAAACAAACAACAAAAAAACCCAAGTTTTTAAATATAAGAACTTGAGAAAGATTATCCCCATGAACTCTTCTTGAGGAATCTAGTGAAAGACAAACTTCAGTCCACCAAGCGGTAACTGGAAAAACTCCAGCAAAAGAACCGTTAAAAGCATTGATCAAGTCTGTTTACCTGTAGGTCAAAACAAATTTGGAGATTAGTGCAATAGAACAGAATGTGACAGTTATGTGACCTGACAATATGAAATTATCTAACCGAATTTGAGAGGAGAAGAGGAAAGAAGATGATAGTAAATTTAGAATATTCTTTCCTCATCTTTCATAGGTAGGGTTCAAAGGGTATCGTTTAAAGCTAACAGACAAACTACTGGAGGTTTAGGTATATTTACAAAGTTAAACCGGATGTAGTATGATGGACTAAAATATGACAGTGGAGGGATGGTGCAAGAGAAGAAAATATCTTAATTTTATCATTTCTCATGGGGGATTAAATAGATACTGTCTAAAGAAATAAAGGCTTTCAGATATTAATAAAAGTAACCAATAGATTAAAAAGTAAACCATCTTAAATATCAAAATATACACACAAATGAAAATGAACAGTCTCTACAAAGGATAACAAAAATAATTGATAGAACTAAGGCCACTATCTGTCATATCAGTAAATATAAATGGAAATTGGAGGTCATCAGCTTGGTCATCAGGAAGTCGAATCACATACTCCACTAATATGGTTCCCTAACAGAAGAGGCACTGCAGTGGGAGGGACACAGCAGGACACTCCAGAGAAACCACAAAAATGCTCCCTCCGTAAGAGGAAAAGCTTTAAAAATCCATCAGGCTCCTAGAGTGAGAAATCGTCTAATAGAACCAGTTACATGAGACCTTCTCTCTGGTCCTTTCTTATGCTCCCTGCCTCAGAAACAGCAGCTGGCAGGTAGGGGAGGAAGTAAGGGGGAGAGAAGCAGCGCCTGCTTCCCCAAAGGCGTGCTGCCCCGCAACTGGCCCTGCTGGTGGAGAGAGAATCTTCTTCAGATGAAAACTGAAGTGCCGTTAAGCTACTGGACTGATCGTTTTCTTTTTAAAGTACCTAAACTCTTTTTGAAAATTCATGCAGTTAATGCATAACTCATCAGTGTACAACTCGATGAATTCTTGTACATGTAACCAGCATCCAGATCAAGAAGTAGAATATTCCAGGAACCTATAAGGCTTCCTGATATTCTCTTTCAGTCACCTACTAGGCTGCCCCCACCCCCGCCAAAATATACTGTAGATTAGTTTTGCCTGATTTGAACTTTATGTAAATGAAGTAGACTGATCACTTTTAATTACTAAATTGAGGCTGTATTTGTGACTTAATGAGTGTGCGGGGCTGAATAGTGTCCTCTCAAAATTAATGTCCACTGGAACCTCAGAATGTGACTTATTTGGAAATAGTCTTTGCAGACGTAATTAGTTAAGACAGGGTCATACTGGATTAGGCTGGGCCCTAAGTCCAGTGACTGTTGTCCTTATAAGAAGTTCATGCCATGGCAGAAGCAGAGATGGGAGTGATGCAGCTACAAGCCAAGGAAAGCCAAGCATTCCCGGCAACCACCAGAAGCTGGGAGACAGGCATGAAATAGCTTCTCCCTCAGATCCTATAGAAGGAAGCAACCCTGCCTACACCTTGATTTTGGACTTCCGGCCTCCTGAACTGGGAGAGAATAACTTTCTCTTGTTTTAAACCACCTAGTTTGTGGTAATTTGTTACAGCAGCCTTAGGAAACTAATAAAATGCAACTCTAGGACTGAGTATTAAGAAAGAGGGGGCAGAAAATTTATGAGACTTGTCCTTGTTTTAGGAGTGGAGGAAGCACTATTTCCATTAAACAGGTTTAAACCCGGAAAATGGCTTAAAGACCCTTTTGTTTAC